CGGTATAGGAAGAAATTAGGTTTTCGGGGGTTCCTATGCGATGAAATGGTTTTAGGAAAGGCTGAAGAAGCTAAAAAGGCCTACAAGTCAAATTCCATAATTTTGAGCCGAATCGGGACTTTTTAAAATTTCAATTTTGAACTTATAGTTGTCAGGGGTCAAAATGAAAATTGACAGCTTTCAACAACGTGTGATGACATCTGGCGTTGTCACTTTTTTACATCGCCGACGCATGGAGGGGATGAATCGAGGTATTGTCTATTGAGGGATAATATTCCACTCTTCAATTAGGGCTCAATCTAACTGAGCAAGGGGTACGGGACTGGCGTGGTGTTGCACGAATGTCGCGATATAAAATGTCCCGCAAAATCTCAATTGGATTAAAATTTGGTTAAATTTTTATGGGCTGGTCTTGGGTGCAAATGGGGGGGGGGGGGGGATGTTGCTAGTTTTGAGAAATTGATTAGTCCCAGCAGACTTATGTCGTATGAGTAGGTGCATTACCAAGCATGAATGCTTGCCCATGGGCTTGATTTTGAAAGAAAAATACTGGTTTGATTTAGCCTTGGCCACCAAACGCGACGCTGTGCTCAGTGAAGTCTGTGTAGGATGTGATGGGGCTGCAGTTTTATGCGACAAACTAAGCCCGTTAGCACGAAGGACTATCATTTCTTAGTCTTTTCGACTCATCCTGGGCCTTCGTTTGACGGTTGAAATTGATTTCTCAAGCGTTGCGTTAGGATGGATGAGAACACCCTCGGCTTAGTCTTTCTGCGTTCTACTCGCTTGGGTACGTCCTTTTGAGAGCGTATCGTTGACATGTGATCCCGTGTGGCATACACAGTGTGTCTGTTCATGTTGAACCTTCTAGTTAGCCGAGCGCCCACCTGAAGCATTTCAATGATGTGATTTCTTTCTGATTCATTCAGCCAAAGCATGGTGAATCGAAAAAGAGAAGCCATTTTTATATGTGGCGAAACACTTCGAAGGAGTCCAACTTTGAGTGTGTAGTTTTTGTTTTCAAAGTCACCAACACATTTTCACAGTATTTGACAAAATTCAAAACTATGCGAATGACATCGTCAGGCAAAATGATAGACCAGTGCACCCTAGTGAAAACAGTTCACGAACGACAATAAGCTTACGTGACATGTGTAAATTTTAAAAACTAATTGGATGTTTAGTTTTTGAGCTACACGCTTTTAAAATGTGTGAAGTTAAAAATGAATGTTAATGAGTACATATATATTGTATACTCTGTCACATTTTTTTGTATACACTGTGTTAAAATGAAAATAGATAGTTTCACAATGAGCCGATATTCTGAAAAATTTTAGGAATACAAATTCAATCAATTTAAAAAACAAAAAAACAACAACACCAATACGGAAAGTTAACATAACAGGTTTATTCCCGACTTACAAGAGTGTGGGGGTGGTCTGCAAAAGTAACACGATCAGTAGAGCGTATGATGTCCTCTTGCATTGATGACGGTCTGACATCGTCGCCGCATGGAATCAATCATTCGCTGCACTGCGTGTTGAGAGATGTTATTCCACTCTTCAGGCAATGCTATCTCTAGTTGAGGAAGTGTCTGAGGCTGGTGTTGTCACATGTTTTTCAACTCATCTCTGGTTTGTCTTGCTGTTTTGAAACGATTCCGTAGATGCGACAGGGGTATGAAAAGATCCTCTCTTGGAGTAGTTTTTCTTCTCTCAAGTCGACCGTGTCGATCCTTTGGTGATTCTGTTGATCTCTCACGATCCATTGTTGCGTACACATGTCTTCTTGTTAGATTAAAATGTCTTGCAGCAGTGGATAAGGAGACACCTCTACGGCAACAGGCTGATTTCGCACATTTTCTCTAAGGCGTGGCATCATGAAACTTAGACAACACAAGTTTTATCACTGCCGAAATGTTGCAAAAATGACAAAGCTTTGATGTGTATTTCTTTTTTAAACAAATAATTTCCGTGCCATGAGTTATTATTAAAAAACACAAAACATGTAACACGCATGCAGTAAAAAAAACAACAACACTTGCACGTTCAGAAATTTGAAAATAACTCACCAGTGACACTCAGTGACAGGTATTTCACGTATTAAGTCAGTGTAAAAATTTGAAAGTGATTGGTAGCATATACATTTTTAAATTGAGCTTTAAAATGTGTATACTAAAAATGTGACAGAGTGTATATTATATATATATACTCAGCGGCAATAGAAACTGTCCACTTGGAAAGAAACCTGTATTGTAGTTATTATTCAACAAATGAATACAAACATTGTCACAGACATATTTCAAAGTATGTCAGGAAGTGTTTTACTTTTTGTTTCTTGTTGATGTCTCATAGAGTGGCACAATGTTAAGCACTAACTGGTACCCCTTGATTTCAAAATTTCACATCAGTAGCGGGCATTGTAGCCCCTTGCTATAATGCAAGCTTGGCATGTTTTGCGCATTGATCGAGTCCGTTTTTTTCTTATTTTAGTTAATTGTTGTGGCAGTCCATTCCACCCTTGAATCAAAGCTTGTCTCAGTTGTTGTACAATCTTACTGACGTTTTCGGAGCTACCTCTTAGGCCCAGTCATTTCAAGCGTAATTATTGGAAAAATGGCAAACTTGGTAATTACAGAGCAGCCTTGCTCGATGTCCGAACGTGTTTGAAGGCCGTTGTTTCCTTCTCTTGCTGATAACTCTTTCAATGTTTGTATGAAATTGACGTGCAGAGCTGGTCGTTGTGAGAAAGTGATCTCAATGATACCAGAGAAGTATCTATCTGTCTGCTTGGGCGGTATCGAACTCTGGTCGGCCTGGTCTGGGTCAGTCAGGTGTAACTCCAGAGACTTGGAACCAATCTTTCAGGATATTGATGGTAGGGTGGGAACAATGAAGTATCCTTGCCACTCTACGGGGCGATAGTATAGCTTGGGGTATTCAAATTGTCCAACAGCGTTCCAAGGGGCCTAACCTTAGCATATTGTAAGCATCTTGTACAGCAATTTAAGTCGACAAAAGCCAGCTGGAATGTCTATGTAACTTCTTTTTTCGGTTCTAAAATCGCATATATGTTTATCTAAACCCTATTTAGACGATTTCATAATTTTGGCGGAACTTAAGCCCCAAAACATGTTAATTTGCAGGTGTGTCACGTGACCACGAGGTTAAATTTTTGTTCAGGAAAAAGATCAGAGCAGAGGCATCGTTGGGTACATGGTGAGTGATATGCAAAATTTCACTCACTTACTCAAGTGAACTAATGTGGAGTTACAAAAAACAAAGTGGAAAGTTTCGATTGCCGCTGGGTATATAATATATA